CTCTTCACCTTCACATATTCAATTGTGAAATCCCCGTGACATTGAGCCATTGCAACTTACTTCAAATATTGTTTAAGATTTCGTTGTGGAATGACTTGCAATAACTCGAACTGAATCCTATATATAACTCATTGCAATATGAGGATAAATATATACAGCAAAATATGAAGTAAATATCACATACGCACAAGAACAAAAGATAAGTGGCAGATGAAAGGAGAATCTACTAAAATATGGAGAAGGTATACACAAAGATTTTGTGTATACAAATTTGTGTAACTTATCAAACTCACAATGAAGTGTTAATTATATATAGGAAACGTTTCAAATTTCAGAAAGAGTTATAGATGAAAAAGAGTATTAAAAACGAGTCAAAAATGAAATGGGCCTGGGCTGGATAATAGGCCACTGAGCACCAAATGGGCTGCAGCTTGCTGTGAAGAATTTGATGCGCCACTCGAGCAGGAGGCTAGCCGCCAGCTAACAGAAAAGCACCGAAAATTTCTCCATGGTCCATATCTTGACCTCTTAAAGTTCAACACAAATTTCAAACTCTCAATTGAACTCCCAAATTGGATTTCAACTAGAATTTCCAAACAAACTTTGAATATAATTCCCAAATATCATTTCAAATAAAATTCGAGTCACACCTTAATTCTAACACTGTTCGTAGATTCCAAGTTACATGTTGACACTCTACTTAAGGTAATATTTGTCCCTCACCAAATTGTGCATAAGGGAACCAAACTTGCCTCCAAGATAAAATAAAGTAATATATTTATTGGCATTAATGCACTCAACGACGGCCAAACTAAGGATATATATATATATATATGAAATTATATGAGAGTCTTTGCAATCCGGTTCTGCAGTATTCCAGATACAAAGTAATTTAGAAATGAAAATAAGAAAGTAAGAAACTTGAAAGCATAGAAAATAAAAGAAGATAATTTAAAATATGATTTGCCAAATGAATCCTAATCTATTTATAGATTGTTATTACGACACTTTTCATCATTTGATTAACTATTCAATTTTAATTAAATAACTAAATTGAGGTTGAAAAGGGACAGAAAAATGGTTAAAATCATCTGATTATGAATAAGCAGGCTGCAGCAGCTAAGCATGCAGCATCTTATGGCCGGCCACTTGCTACCTCCTACGATCTGTCCCTTTAATTTCTTGTTCTAAACACGAATCAAGATTCAAGATACATCCTACAATGTCAAAACGACATTATTTGAAAAAATTTCATACAATATTGACAGCCATAAAGTTAAGTAATTGTAGCACAGTATTAGCATCATAACTACTTGATCTGTCCCATTCCTTCTTTTAACTGTCATCATCCATCAACACCCATTGCCACCTATTATAGAGACCTGCTGCCAATTCCTCTATCACATGTGCTTGCATCTCTTGCCCTCAATACAAAACCTTGTTTCTCTCTTTCCAAAGCACCCATATAACACATCCCAGATGCCCAAGATCAAGGCCCTCGAAATGCTTAGCTAAAATCCTTTTTATCAGTAGCTCACGAATATTTTAACCCAGTTCGACCAACCCAACACCTTCCAAAATTTTCAGAAGCCCCACAGGTGAAAAGAGCATGAATACTTGTTTTGACTTCTCCACATCTAAAACCGCCCAAACCTCACCCATATTCGTCTGCAAGATTCGCCAAACATAGTTCCACAAACCAGCCATTGCTCAAGAGACTTACCTAGATTTTGTCACTTGTAAATGTATCCCTTGATATATGGACAACTCTCAAGGCAATGATCAGGGGCGAAGCTAGAAGAGTAGAGTTATGGGAGCAAATTTCATAAAATGTTAATTGTGGGAGGCAAAATTGAAAATTATAAGGAATTAAATCTATTGCAAAATCTTGGATTTCAAATTTAGTGTGGGGGCTGTAGATCTGTCCATGGCAATGACGCAAGGTCAACCTAAGGAAGAAGAGTGTCAATCGAATGGATGATAGATTGTGTACTTTCTAATTATAGGTGTATGAGTGTATTCTCCCGAATAGCAATTCAGTAACTAATCTATTGAATTGAGTTAATTGTACAATTACTACATTGCAAATATATGTCAATGACAATTTACAGCCTTCTACCTTAGGAAAACTGACATATTGCTATTTATCTTTCATCTTCTTACCATTTTCATCTATTTAAGACACAGAAAATTATGCCAGCCATTGTTAGGACACGGGTACAAACACCATTCTACCATGATATCATAGCAACTCAAACCAACCATATTTTTGCAGCCTAGTGGACATTGTGACATGGCGTACCAGATTTATTTACGTCAACCGAATAATTAACCACGATCAAGTCTAGTTGACAAACTGTAGTATGGAAAAGCTAGTGAGAATGACCAAGAACTATCCAGCTTGTGTCCTCATGAGATGAACCAAGTGTTGCCAAATTAGAAGGCTTTCAGCTTGAGCCACATAAAGTTCCATCTACGGATGCCAAAGCTCAAACCAAGCAGTGAAATGAGGCACCTGAGACTTACATACTGAAGCCAGCACGACAGACATATATTAGCACAGCTCAGAAGTTGATGCCACCTAAACGGCCGTTGATTCTGGATTTCTCAGATCAAATACATGTTTAGATTTGACAATTTGAAGTGGGTAGCAGCTCATACTAGTATCATCTATAAAATGAAGAATAAGGGGCTGCTAACAGAATAAGTCACATAATTCTTTGTAATGCCAATAAAACTTTATTAGCAAAAGAAGCATAAAATAAGAGGAGTATAAATCCATGGTAAGAGAAACAGGGGGGTGGGCCCAGGGCAGGGTCCGTGGAGGCCTTAGGGTTGGGGTTCAACCTTTTTTTAGAAACAAGGGGGGTGGAAAAGGAGCAAATTTTGTACAATGAACTCATGATTGAGTTTTGGAAAACTGGAGTCTTGTCAAATCCTGGAAAT